TCTATATAAGGTGATTTAACTGCCTGTAAAAATCATCCACCACATGGTTTCTTGGTATGGTGGTCTTTGGACTCTGACTAAACACAAGATGTCCAACCTAGGAAAGAAAATGGCCAAGCCTCTAACTCAGGAACTTAAAAGCCCTATTATTCAAAAGTACAATGAAAATAATGGCTATAAAAACATTGCAAAAACTTTAGAATTTTCCCTAAGCACTGTTAAAACTGTAGTTAAGAAGTGGTTAGTACACAAAGCCACTGCTACCCTTCCAAGACCTGGGAGACTGAGCAAACTTACCAGAAGAGCAAAATCAAAATTGATTCGGGAGGCAACCTCCAACCCTAGTGCAACACTGGAAGACTTAAAAGCTTCAGTTTGCAGTACTGGAACAGATGTCCATGCATCTATAATTTCCAGAGTATTGCACCGGTCTGGCCTGCAAGGGAGGGTAGCTAGAAAAAAGCCCCTTCTGAGGCCTATGCACAAGCAAGCTAGGCTAAACTTTGCCAAAAGTCACGTCAATGATTCCATGACCATGTGGCGAAAGATTTTGTGGTCAGATGAGACCAAAGACGAGTTATTTGGAAGAAATACGAAACGCTACGTTTGGCGGGAAAAAAGGCTCTGCTCACCAAGCTCATTACACCGTCCCCACTGTATAGCATGGCGGTGGCTCGATCATACTTTGAGGCTTTTCTTTTTTCACCTGTAGGACCTTTGAGAGCTGATAACCATCCAAGGTGTCATGGACAGTGTCAACTACCAAGAAATATTGGAGGCAAACCAGCTGAAGTCTGCTAGAGCTCTGCGCTTGGGTTGCAATTTCAAGTTTTAACAAGATAAAGACCCCAAGCATGTGTCCAAAAGCACTAAGGATTGCTTTGCTATCAAGTAAATCACAGTTTTGGAGTGGTCCAGCCAGTCTCCAGACCTCAATCCTATAGAAAATCTATGACGAGATCTAAAGCTGGCTGTGCACCAATATTCCCCATCCAATCTGACACGGCTCGAGAAGTTCTTTCATGAAGAATGGCAAAAACTGTCAGTAGGCCCCTGCAGCAAGCTCGTAGAAGGCTACCCTAGGCGTCTGCTGGCTGTAAATGACGCAGCAGGATCATCCACAAAGTATTAACTGAAGACATTCCAAAGGGGGAGTAGACTTTTGCAAAGACATTTTTCAAAATTATCTTTGTTTAAGAATCTGTTTTACATTTTTCAAATGTATTTTGTGTATTAAATAAAAGTGCGATTGACCTGCTTATTAAAACAAATTATTGGAATTTACAATATTAATTGTTCCTATCAAAATGAACAAATCCCGTTTTCAAGGGGGTGTAGACTTTTTCAATGCACTGTATATCTCCAAAATGAAACGCCTAAATATTACCTTACATTATCAAATGTTCACATATAATAATGATCAGGTAATAATCGATTTATATATCCACAAAACTGGTAATGACAAAGAAACATTTGGCATTCGTTGACCTCGTAGCCAGTACTATTTTCATTTGAATTTTATGAATTCTTTCTCTTAAAACAATTTTTAGAAAAACAGGTTTCTCAAGCCAAGTAGCTTTTATCATTCTTTCCATAACGGGTACGGTTTCTTTCCGAACCGTCTCTTTGAAGTGGTGGAATCTTAATATCTTGATTACGTCGTCATTTCCTCTTCGTGTTATATGTATTATCCATTTTAGCTGTTGCTGCTGTTGGTAGTCCTCAAGAGATGTGAAATCTGTTATTGGGTACAGTTCTTTGTTCGTGAAATTTCTCTTTTCCTTGGCATCCTTTCTACTCCCTAATGACAAATATAATATTAGCCGTTTCTCTACAAGAATACTTTCGACATTCATTGACGAAGTAACCAGTACCGCTTTCAGTTAGAATGTATAAAATCTGTCTCTTAAGACACTTTGTTTTTAGAAAAACAAGTTTCTCAAATCCAGTAGCCGCTATCGCTCTTTTTCAGTATTAATAGGGGTTTATTTCTTAACCTTTTATTTGAAGTAGTGTGCAATGTCAACATCTTGATTTTGACGCTATTTTCCCTTCGAGATACAGCTACTATTCATTTTAGTTGTTGCTGATGTTGGAAGTCCTATAGTGGTGTTACTTTTGTTATTTGGTTCAGTTCTTTGTTTGCGATTCTGTAGCGTCAATTCCCGTGCATAATTTTACCCATCACCCGGACTAAACATTACCTTAATCAGATAAAACCGCACAGGAGAAAGACCACTAACGTTAAATCAAGCTATGAATCCGAGAAGAGCCGGTTAATAATGTCTCCGCTGAGATGTCTCATTCAATATATAATATTCTAAATATTGTTTCCAAATTAAAAGTAACTTAACAGAAATCTGAAGCCGTTATCAATCACATTACATTTTCCTCGAATGATCTATGCTTTGAACAACCATTTGAAGCGGAACTTGGAAATCGTAAAAAGAATATTTTAAATTTATATTACGTTGAAAAAGATTTCCATTTGCTTTTCTCTCCGGTAATAAAAGATTCCAGGAAACGATTTGGGAAATGCCAATTAAAATTGATTCCTAACATGTCTCACACGTCCACCCGTGCACATTACCGTAAAAGCCATTCTAACATGGTAAGAATCGTTTAAAATGCATGCAATTAAACATATATTAACGCTTTTTTAAAAATCTTTCCGTAATGTTGGTTTTAATTTCGCATTATTGACAAACGCTTCCTGATTGATTTTTAATGCATTTCTATAGTAAATGTAAATCTATCATATTGTTCATAACGCATGCGCATTCCTCTAGGGTAATCGTTTGACTCTTCTTGCTGCCTTCAAGAGAATGTAGCGTTTTACAAGAGGTGATATTTGAACACGTGATCTCGCTTCAGAGGGGACCGAATTTGATGCCATATATACATATTCTCGAAAGCGAGATTTCAACGTATTTTTTTTATATGATTGCTGTGCGGAGGATTGGATTTTAAATGTTTTATTTTTTACTTAAAGTTGAATATGGAAGAAGATAAGATGCATTTTCATTAGTTGTTATTGTATTACTTCCAGAAAGGAAACAAATTGCTGTACAAACAGCAAATAAATATATGTGCTGTTTGCGAAGATGGTACCATAACTAGCAGTAATGTTCGTATGGGGTCAACTAAATTAAGAAGTGAACATTCTCATTGAGAACGTCCCAGCAGGTATGTCGTCGTACATAATGATCAAATCGAAACATTGATTAAATATAAACCAGGGTACTCGACATGGGGTACAGCAGAGATAATGCACATATATGATATGATGTTGCAAGTCATCTGATACGTGGATTGCATTAATGCTTGTGTTTCTCATGATGTAACAGAAATACATTAATTGCCCACATTTCCATTTGGGATTCTTTTCTCAGACGCAACAAAAACGAAACATTTTTAAAATGTTTTAAACTCTATCGAGACAAGTGAGGATTGGAAAGTCCCAGTCCATATATGACGGCAATACTACATTTATTATACATACATAATTACACCCTTGTGTATATTAAATGAAAAAAAATGCTTTAGTTTTCTTTCTTTCACCATTCGGTCAGTTTTAGACCCACTGGAGTGGCAGGGTGTAAGCGATTACTGTTTTCTCCTCAGATTAGGTCATTTGCAGTGGTGTGCACTAATATGAATCTATTTTTGGGGTGTTTTGATGATATTTTCTTTTGCCTTGAAAAATATTGCGTCATCTAGGATTACATCAGGTTTTAACACGCACAAACACTATTGTCTCAACTGTTGATTAGTTGTCCTTCGGCCATTGTCTGCTGTTGACGTTATGCCAAGGAAGCATAAGAAAATTGTAACACTGCATGAACACACTGGGAAGCCTTACCGGTGAGCAAATCAAAGTACTATAGATTAGCCCGGAAACTCTCCTGATTTAATTCCAATAGAGAATCTGGTCAATCTGCAAGGCACGACTTCGTGGAATGGACATACACGGTGCTAACATGTGCACTGTGTCATGTTTCCTTGGAAAAATAACAAAAATGAGTACTGTATTTTTTACAAATACTTTCATGGTAACGGCTCCGATGAGCTGCTTTCGCTGGTTCCCAGACTTCATGAATTTAAGCGTTCAACTAGGCTGGAATCTCGATCTCACCATTTCACTGTCGAAACTGTCAAATGTAGCTGTCTCTTCTACTCCAATAGCTTCATGTCTCGCACTTCTCGCCTGTGGAACTCCCTCCCCATTTCTTGTTTTCCTGATAGCTATAATCTCCAACTATTCAAATGCAATGTCAATCGACGTCTCCAGATGCCCTGATCTATCCCCTATCCTTTTCTTCATCCTTTCATCTATCAATCCTATTTGTTCTCGCTCCAATTCTCTGAAAGCCCTTGCGTGTTAGTGACTGCTGGCCTTGCTTGGGGTGGAATGCTTAAATAATAATAATAATAATAATAATAAAGGAATTATTCGTTTCGTTTCAATTAATTTGCAAAAGGGTTTACATTATAACACACACACACACACACACACATATATATATATATATATATATAATGGCCGTATTTTATCAGTATCTTTTCGTGTTAGTGACTTCTGGCCTTGCTTGGGGTGGAATGCTTAAATAATAATAATAATAATAATAATAATAATAACGGAATTATTCGTTTTGTTCCAATTAATTTGCAAAAGGGTTTACATTATACACACACACACACACACACACACACACACACACACACACACACACATATATATATATATATATATAATGGCCGTATTTTATCAGTATCTTTTCCATTTTTTTTTACTTCATGAAATGTATTTTTATACAATCTCTTTCATTTCTCAGTGTCCTCTTTCTTTTTTAGCAACTTCTAAAGATGCTTCTATTCATTTTACCTTTTCATTATTCATTTATTATATGTTTTATTTTCCTTTTTCTCGATATTCCTTCCTATCTTTCTTCGCTTTGAACTTATTCGATCTTCGAATACCCCAACTTAATTCCATCTTGATGGCTAAGGCACCACCCCATTCGCACGTGCGTCTCGTTCTAGGTAAATACTTGTAGACGTGGGTTTATTCAATGTTTGTCTTCGGTCTTGTAGAGAACTCTACTTTTTTTTTAGTTCTTGTCTGCAAGAAATGATTAAATATAGCTCCTAGCATCCGAGTGTAGATTCCATCAAGCTTAGACTGTAGGGCTTTAATTAATGCCCGGGCAGTTGCACCATACGTTAACAACGCCTCTACAGTTATTCGGAAGCATCTCTGCTTGAGGTTGTCTGGTTGATCTGATTTCCAGATTGCATCTATTTTATCCAAGGCGGCCTAGGCATTGGCTATGAGAATTTTCACATGCTTTTCATTAGAATTAATTTAAAAGATTCGAGAGAATTTATTGAGATTTTATTGAAAGAAAGGAAAACGATGGTGAAAAGTTTATTGAGAGAAAGGAAAACTATGGTGAAAGAAAGGAAACTATAGCATTTTTTTTATTAAGCTTTTCTGGCTGAAGTCTACAGTAGCCTAAGAAAAGATTTTAACAAGGATAAATAAACTACATCCAATTTCAAAATTTAATTACATAATCCCAACTCAACATAAATAAACAGTATTTGGAACTAGTATAAAGTAGGTCCTCACTTTGCTAGTTTCAGTTTTTATATTGGATTTTTTTATGGATTTGATCAAGTTATCAACCATCGTCTGATCCATATTTTGCCACTTATTTTACCAATGCTTCTTTAAGGGTTGCCACTGACGTGATTTTAGTTGCACGCTCTCGAAGTTTTCGGTGAATCTGCTCCCAAACGTGCTCTGATGGGTTAATGTCAGGACTTTGGGCTACCAATTGACTTCATTCCTTGTAATTTCCTCCAGGCCTTTGCTACATTGCTCCTATGACATAGCACTCCATCTTTTTGATAAAGGTAGATCTCATTTGGTTTCAAATAGTAGGAGTTGTTCTTTTTCTAATATTTGACAGTATTTTGGACCTTTAAACCACACATCAACAAGAATCAGCTCAGATTTCACTCCAAACCAGACAGCGCCTCACACCATTGCTCCAATCTCTCCATGTTTTACGGTCGCCTGCAGACATTCAGAGTTCCAAGTCTCATTCTGATTTCTCCAAACATAAACATGTCTCGAATTCGAATATTGGCAGAATTTACTTACATCTAACCAAATTACAGACTGCCAAAATTCATAATCTTTGCTCTCGAATTCTCTTGCCCAGTCCATACGCCTGTTCCTGTTAACCTCTGAAATCAAGGGTTTCTTTCTTGCAACTCTTCTTTGATAGCTTAACTGTTTCAGGGTCTTTCTTACCGCATATGGCAACATTTCCATGCTGTTGGCGACATCTTTGACGCTGTGACGATGGTTTCTGATGACTTCCCTATTCAGTGCCCTTTTTGTTCGCTCAGACACGATGCTTGGTCTCCCTGAACTTTGTTCTACACGAAATTCGCCTTCTTCAGTAAATTTCTTGACAATATTATTAACCGTTTGATGATTAACCTAAAAAAAACTAGCAATTTCTCTATTTGACTTGCCACACTGATGCCATCCTATTATTTGCTCTTGTTGAAATTCACTACTTTCCTTACTTCCCCGAACTTCCATTGCAAGATATAAGACAGCTATTGTTCATAGATGAGAGTAGCTTGATATTAACATGGTATTGTCTGAAAAAAAATGAAGAGGCGTTATTAAGCAAGCCAAAATTGCTGTAATCAAGGGTGGCTAAAAACTTATAGCCCACTGTATGAATTCAGTTTTTGAGATATTAACATAGAGTCCAACACTGTTTGCAGTAGTTTGTAGATGATGTAGGAGAACTGTGGCATTGGTAATTGTGTCTTCTGGGATAGCTCGGTAATCTGTATAGTTAGCATCTGTCAAATTTTTGCAGGATATCGACTTAAGAGTTTTGGAGATAGAATAAAACCTAGATTTTACATCATCTAGGTTTAGCCTGTTCTATGTCTTTTTATTTTCCATTTTCTCGATATTCCTGCCACCCTACCTTAGCTTTGATCTTGTTGGCAGATCTTTGAATAGCTCATCTTAATTCCTTATTGATGGCTAAGACACCACCGTGGATCTCATTTTCGGTGGATACATGTAGTCATGCGTTTATTCAATGTCTGTCTTCTTGGATTTTGTAGAGAATTGGACCAATCTCTACTTTTTTGGCTTTAGTGCAAAAAGAACATAGGTGTACCTTTTTGATTTCATTGATTCAGCTGAGACACTTTGTATTGAACCTTGCTGTCTGAAGTCTATGAATTCAGTTTTAGTGACATTTATACAGAGTTCAACGCCGTTTGTAGTAATTTGTAGATGATGTTGCAGAACTGTGACATTGGTAATGTTGTCTTCGGTGATAGCTACGTAATCTCTATAGTTAACTCCTATCATCTTTTTGCAGGATATCGACTTGAGAGTCTTAGTGATAGAGTATGTTATGGAGTGGTTTCACAGTGGAGGCTTGTATTTGTACTAAGTCGATCCTAAAATAGGTTCGACGTACAAAACGTTAGGAACTTGATATAATAGGTAATCACGCAGAAAAATCTAGTGGTGGTCGCTGATACTTTAATATCCGACTCACGGTAGTCCGACATCGACTGACTGAAAGAGAATCCGTCCTTCAGCGTAGCCTCCTTCGGGTTCCTCCCCGCTCGAAGACAGAGAGTTCAACCGTTCAGCCGGTCGTCCGACATCGACTGGCGATATTCAGTCACCCACCCCACTGGGGCGGCATGTGACACAAGGTCGATTTATTTGTTGTAGGTTCTCCGAGCCCGTGGACTCGGCCCAAAAATATGCCCATTGAACCCGTATAAACGGGCTCAGGGCCAGTTGACCTCCCTGAACGAGACTCCACCCTTCGGCGTAGCCTCCTTCGGGTTCCTCTCCGTCCGGAGACAGAGAGGTGAACCGTTCTGTCGTTCAGAAAGTCCGACATCGACTGACAATATTCAGTCTCCCCCCACTTGGGGCAACATGTGACACAAGGTCGGTTATTTTATGTGGGTTTTCCTGAGCCCGTGGCTCGGCCCAAAAAATATGCCCGTTTTAACCCGTATAAAAAATATGCCCGTTTTTAACCCGTATAAGTCGATCCTAAAATAGGTTCGTCGTACAAAACGTTAGGAACTTGATATAATAGGTAATCACGCAGAAAAATCTAGTGGTGGTCGCTGATACTTTAATATCCGACTCACGGTAGTCCGACATCGACTGACTGAAAGAGAATCCGTCCTTCAGCGTGGCCTCCTTCGGGTTCCTCCCCGCTCGAAGACAGAGAGTTCAACCGTTCAGCCGGTCGTCCGACATCGACTGGCGATATTCAGTCACCCCCCCCCCACTGGGGCAGCATGTGACACAAGGTCGGTTATTTGTTGTGGGTTCTCCGAGCCCGTGGACTCGGCCCAAAAATATGCCCATTGAACCCGTATAAACGGGCTCAGGGCCGGTTGACCTCCCCGAACGAGACTCCACCCTTCGGCGTAGCCTCCTTCGGGTTCCTCTCCGTCCGGAGACAGAGAGGTGAACCGATCAGTCGCTCAGAATGTCCGACATCGACTGACGATATTCAGTCACCCCCCCACGAGGGTGTCATGTGGCACAAGGCCTTTTTTAACGTGGGCATTCCCGAGCCATTAGGCTCGGGCAAAAAAAAGCCCATTTGAACCCGTATAAACGGGTTCAGGGCCGGTTTTACCTCCCGAAGGAGACTCCGCCCTTCGGCGTAGCCTCCTTCGGGTTCCTCTCCGTCCGGAGACAGAGAGGTGAACCGATCAGTCGCTCAGAATGTCCGACATCGACTGACGATATTCAGTCACCCCCCCACGAGGGTGTCATGTGGCACAAGGCCTTTTTAACGTGGGCATTCCCGAGCCGTTAGGCCCGGCCAAAAATAGCCCATTTGAACCCGTATAAACGGGTTCAGGGGGCCGATTTAACCTCCCGAAGGAGACTCCGCCCTTCGGCGTAGCCTCCTTCGGGTTCCTCCTCCGTCCGGAGACAGAGAGGTGAACCGATCAGTCGCTCAGAATGTCCGACATCGACTGACAATATTCAGTCACCCCCCACGAGGGTGTCATGCGGCACAAGGCCTTTTAACGTGGGCATTCCCGAGCCATTAGGCCCGCAAAAAAATAGCCCATTCGAACCCGCATAAACGGGTTCAGGGCCGGTTTAACCTCCCCGAAGAAGACTCCGCCCTTCGGCGTAGCCTCCTTCGGGTTCCTCTCCGTCCGGAGACAGAGAGGTGAACCGATCAGTCGCTCAGAATGTCCGACATCGACTGACAATATTCAGTCACCCCCACACGAGGGTGTCATGTGGCACAAGGCCTTTTTAACGTGGGCATTCCCGAGCCATCAGGCTCGGCCAAAAAATAGCCCATTTGAACCCGTATAAACGGGTTCAGGGCCGGTTTAACCTCCCCGAAGGAGACTCCGCCCTTCGGCGTAGCCTCCTTCGGGTTCCTCTCCGTCCGGAGACAGAGAGGTGAACCGATCAGTCGCTCAGAATGTCCGACATCGACTGACAATATTCAGTCACCCCCCCACGAGGGTGTCATGTGGCACAAGGCCTTTTTAACGTGGGCATTCCCGAGCCATTAGGCCCGGCCAAAAAATAGCCCATTTGAACCCGCATAAACGGGTTCTGGGCCGGTTTAACCTCCCCGAAGGAGACTCCGCCCTTCGGCGTAGCCTCCTTCGGGTTCCTCTCCGTCCGGAGACAGAGAGGTGAACCGATCCGTCGCTCAGAATGTCCGACATCGACTGACAATATTCAGTCACCCCCCCACGAGGGTGTCATGTGGCACAAGGCCTTTTTAACGTGGGAATTCCCGAGCCATTAGGCCCGGCCAAAAATAGCCCATTTGAACCCGCATAAACGGGTTCTGGGCCAATTTAACCTCCCGAAGGAGACTCCGCCCTTCGGCGTAGCCTCCTTCGGGTTCCTCTCCGTCCGGAGACAGAGAGGTGAACCGATGCAGTCGCTCAGAATGTCCGACATCGACTGACAA